ACACACAGTGTTGTAAAGTGAAAAAGTCCAGACAGCTTTCCTACCTTTCCTACCAAGCTTACCGGCTGAGTAACGCAGTGACTACACTACAGTCAGACTTGGTCCCACACCGGCTGCTTAGAAGAAATACTTTATCCTGGGTTGTCACAGACAAGAAAAAAAAAGGGAAAATAAAAAGTCACCCTGAAGCACCCCACATAGGAATGATAGGAATAAAGACTCAACCTCCAAAGAAAACTAAGCAGTAGCCCTGTTTCCTTGGCTGGTTCATCCAGCAGCCTCAGAGATGAGCTGGGGAGGCTGGCACAGCCCAGGTCCTGCTCACCAGCAGTGTCGCTGTTGATTATCTCCACACAGCCTGCTGACCCAAAACCTTTCCTCGAGCAGAAAACTACTTGGCACTGTTGCTCTATTTAACTGGTGCTGCTGCATCTGCAGCACATCCTGTGTGGGGTATCTATGGGGACAGCCCATGGGATGTGTGCTGGAGCATGGGGCCACGTCCCCAGCGTTCTGAAGAGCGTGAGGAGCAGCCAGGACTCCAGCAGGCTCCGTCTGGGACACATTTTAGTGCAGAGGGGCAGTTCCCACGGCTTTGTGCCTGCCAGGGCTGTCACAGCCGATGAGCCCTGTGGCTCCTCGTCCTCTACAGGAACACCTCAGTACTTCAGGGCTGCTCCTGCAGAATGGCCGTTGCTTATGGGCTCTTCCAGACCAAAACACTCGGTTCTCAGCTTCTGCCCTGTAAAACAAGGATGACAAACACATCCTGACCTCACAAGGGTGTAAGCAAGGTCTGACATGCCTATCTACAGGCATATATATATATGCTCATATCCTACAGGCCCTGGAAGCCATAGAGAAGCTCATAAACAAACCTGTAGGTGTGAAAGCTGAGCCAGGGCAAGTACTGGGCCTGCACTGCCACCGCATTCAAGGGAAGGGTCCAGCCCAAAAGAGGAAAGAAAAAGCCCTTCCTGGGTTACTTAGCAAAGGTTTGGCACAGTGTGACTTTGGCCTGGAAGCACCAACAGTTATCTGCTCTAGGCTCTTCAGAAAAAACACATACATTTTGACATACACACATGAGCACGTCTCTGAGCAGGTTGAGGACTCAGCTGGAAGCTACGAGCAGCAATGGCACCCGCTGGGCTGTCTGGCACCAACACAGGACTGCAGCCCAGCCTTGCCAGCACGCTCCCTCTGGCCGGGCATCCCCAGCCTCCATGTCGCTTCTTGCCATTGCCGTAGAGGCACGTTAGAAATAGAAAGGAGAGCCTGAAATACAAAACCAGACACTTTAGTGACCGCTCTGGCCTCAAGGTTCCTCAGCTGAACAGAATGGGAAGCTCATAACCGAGGAGCTGGCTTGGGCGCGATATTCCTCGAAAGCATTTGTTATGAGGGTGTGAAATACTTGGCAAGATTTGAGGACAGCAGAAGTAGATTGCTGGAATTTGTCAGGGCTGAAGTCATCAGCATCTTCAAGGTTTACGCTGCACAGACAGATGGTCTCATCTTCGGCCGAACCAAAGCACCCAGCCCACTCCAGAGGGACCAGGCGTTGCACTCAAAGTCCCTCCAGGGGCACCAGGGGCCTTGGCGAAGTGGGAGCCGAATGCGGCAGCACCGCAGGATCCCACCTCTACCTTCCCAGCCAGCAGCGCCATGGCCCACTCAGAACACAGCAGTGGTGTCCTCTGCAGGGACCTGCAAGTGACAGCCCAGGAGGAGCACAGCGCACCGGGGATGGTGCAAGACCAGCATCTGCAAGTGAAGCAGATGTGCCTTGGGGCTGTTTGGACAATGAACAACTGCAGCATTGTCCTCCCTCCCCTTTTCTTCCCTCTTGCTACTACTGCAACCTCTGCAATCATTTGCATTTTCATTAGTGCAAATGATGGCAGATTTTGCCCTAACTTACAGCTGTCTGCTCACCCTGTGTTAAGTTTTCACAGCACCCAGATCCAGCACCATCCCACAGGTTAATGTGGTGCCCCGGACCAGCGCTGCTGATGCAGTTTGCACGCAGAGCCCCTCTGCTCAGATGTGTAACTGCAGGAGCTCACACAGGGGCTGCATTGGGTTTCTGCTGGCATCCAACACACTCAAGTCACAGGCAGCAATTAGAAACTGGGATTTTCTGAACGCAGCTTTAGCTGAGCATTATTCTGCCAAGACCGATAAAACGAAGGCTTACTCCAGGTGAGTACTTTGGTAGTACGCTGCCAACCTGGCTTTACTGCATTAACCTGCTGTACATCCTATCTTGGCCTGAGCTGCTGCCCGCTCCTGCAACATGAAGCCAACCAAAGCAGCAAAGCTTAGATGTGCTCCAGGGAGAGGATGAAGGAGGCAAGGTCCCAGACACTGCAGCTTTGGGAAGTGCATTATTAGTCCCATTAGCTCCTGTCCTACCTGGGGCAGGGCAGCTGGGGGGCACTGAGAGGGCACACAGCTCCTGCAGCTACACAGGCAGCCCCTCCTCACCAGTTGAACTGTGGGTTCCCCTCCGTAACGGAAATCACAGGAATTTCTTATCACAGCAGCAAAGTTGAAAGAAGAGCAGCTGTCTCCTCATCTGGTGCCTGCTCAATCAGTAGCAGCAGTGCAGCACAACCCAAACTGCCAACCTTGCTCATTTTGGCAGAAGCCATCAGACCTGCAAGAGCACTGTGAGGCTTCAGTGGTTCAAGTACAGCATCAGCGCAAATGGGAAATCCTAAAAATTCCCTCACAGCAAAGGTCAATTTTTAAAAGCAACAAGAAGGCTTTGCAATGCCAGTGCCACCCCCTCGAGCTTGCCCTGGAGCAGCGGGTGCGGTGCAGCTGCCTTGTACCACACTTACCTGTCCTGGTGCTGCAGCACAGGCTGGCAGGGCCCAAACTCAGCCCCAGGAAGGGGTGGGCAGGGGTTCGGCAACAGCCACGGCCTCTCGCTCTTCAAACAGCTCCTGTCTGTACCGAGAAGTCTTGACCAGATGAGCCCTTCGAAAGCACAACGCTGAGCTTGAATCACAGTGCGGAGTGTTTACCTTAGAGAAAACCTGAGTGTGACCCTGAGGGACCTGCTGTAAGAAAGCACACACCTTGAGTCCTTTGAAAGTCAGCTTAAAAAGGAGACTGTGGAAATAGTCACGTGCTGCCAGAATACATCAGCTGTCAAGTTTACAAGATACCGTTACAACACAGAACAAGAGCATGATCTGATACGTACAGTGACAAGCCATCTTTGTTAAACTCCGTTAACCAAAAACTGCATTTATTATCCATGCATGCATCTATACTGAGGGATATGCACAATCGTAATGAGGGAAGCCACACTTGTTACTTCAGATAATTAAAGATTTCACCATTTCCTCAAATTTGAAAAATTTCCTTTCACTGCAAAAGGATACACATTCAGAAAGACCTCTACTTCAGTCTGCCCAGTGCCAGGCATCATTCATGGGATCCCACCATCAAAATGAATACAGGAAATTAAATCACTCTGTGGGTTACAAACCACTTTTTAATTGCAGGTCTCGCACAATGTTATGCGACCTTTGCGCTCCACTGAGACTCAGGAAACTGCAGAAATTCAACCTAATGTGTATGATTGTACACATACAGCAACTAAAACTGACAGGCAAACATGACACACCAGTTCAAGGGCACTGCTGCATGGAGACATAATAATTGCACAAGAAAATGGATTTTCCTGTGCAGATCGGTACAGCAAGACCAGGCTTTCAATTTTTAAATCACTAAAAGAGATCCCGTCAAGATTTCTTGTTTCTGCAGCGTAACAAAAGTGATTTGCAGAACCGTGCAGGCAACACTGGGGCTGCTGGGAAACAACCAAGAAACCATTGGCATGATAAGGTGTTACACAGCAGCGTGAACGCCAAACCAACTCCACTGGACAGAGTCCTGACAGCTCCTTCTGAAATCACTCCTCTCAGGGTTTAAGGGCTGGACAGAAAACACTCACGCTGTACACTTCACTGGCATTGAAGATCACTCCCAACCTGCTGAAATTAGAGTGCTGTTTACAACTGTAAAGCTCTGGTTATATTTTGCCATAGTTAAGCAACATGTGGAAGAAAACACACGGTTCAACATTTTGGCACATTAATAAAATCCAGACATGGTCTATTAAAAATATCAAAGTGCATAAGCTCCTTTTTGTATGGTTAGTTTTGTTATCAAAGAAAGCTGAAATCTAATTACAGAAAATAATACAATTTGGGGTGAATCATTACAGAACATTTCCCTTCCAAAGCTGTTACAGCTCAGTATCTGTACCCTCTATCAACCACCGTGCTGTCCCATCAGCGGTTTCAGTGACACAGCTTGCTTCATTTGTTCTTCCAGATTTTATGGCATCCCATCTCAGTACAACGTTCTGCTGCTGCTAAAAGTTACTCCACGGCACTTGTGTATACAAGAACAACACTTGTGCATGCAAGAACACTTGTGCATGCAAGAACACTTGCACCATCGAATAATTCATCTGACACTTCAACCCAGCCACAACTTGCAATGCTTTTGGTATCGGATGATCCCTTTGTTATCAGTCTTTGGTTATTTTACCAGTAGCTGCTGAAGTGGGGGTGAGGAATCGAATACCTAAGTCAAGGCAGTTTTAGCAGACAAGACTTTTCAAATTAGTTAACTGTGCTTTCTGTATCATGATTCAACACCCACTTCTGCATGTTTTGCCTATCAAAGTTGTTTATTGCCAGGGTTACTCAGGCCAAGCCATTGCAAGTGTTCTAACTTGCTTTCTGGAGCCACACAGTAACTTGACAGAGGTCCGCTGTTCTTTGGCTTTGTGAAGGTTTCCGTGTTTCTTCCGTTCCTCCCTTGCACGAAGGATGAACAAACGGCAGCACCAACCCTTCAAGGAGAAGTCGCCTGTGAGAAATCACACAGCCAAGCCTGCTGACAATGCCTGAAATGTGAGACTGCAGTTCATCACACCCTTTCAGCAAGAACACAGGGCCACAGAATAAACTAAAAAAAAAACTGTTTTATTGTGACATTTATGACATTGAACCCTTGTTGATATGAATGACTATGGGCACTCTTGACACATTACATCATGTCATGGTGTAGGATGGCACTGATTGTCATCTGACTTTTGAGAATGTTTAATGGTCCCTACTGACCTCAGTGCATTTTGATAAGTCACAGAACTTTATCATCAGGTTTGTGTATACAGTTAACAAGTAGTTGGTCTTATAAGCACCATTACAAACCCTCACATTAAGGGTATTATTAATCTAGTTTACAAATGCTTCATTTATGAAAATAGCATGATTACAGTATACACACACTTAATTTACATGTAATGTATTATAGGCATAACTGAGATAAACTACTGAGCTAACTTTGGTTGATTGAAGTATTTAGACTGAATAATGGCAATTTTGGCTTCTAAGTTGTGTAAATATTACAGTGCATTTATAAATCTAGGTTGAAAATTTACTAGCACCAAATGGATATCATAAATGGCTGACCTAGTAAGTTGTAGTTGGAGAAGCGAAGTTTAAGAATTACAAAAATAGAGCTGTCCATCAGTTGAAAGCACATTCTTGTACCTCTGCTGAAATGATGACGTGTCTCAGCATCAGTGGCCAACTTCCAATGATAAAAGTCCCAGTTTTCAAGATTCAACATATCAGGGTAGCTCAGCTACACTCAAAAGCCTGAGAAAGTGGTTGTTTTGAGCTAGGGTGTTCATCCTGTACCTTGTTTATGTATTAATATAGTAGTGCTTGTTCATACAAATGTACTTATGTAAGACTGTACCTATGATATGGAGAATCTGATTGGGAGGAACATTCAGTCCTACCTATCTATCTTTGGTTTAATTAATTGGTCTTTGGTTGATGAATTAATGAAGCAATATCTGAATTTTCATTCTCAGGTTATCTCCCAGCTCACCACTGAGGTAGTCTTTGTCATGTTTCTCTTCAAGCTGGTTAAGTTCCTTCTTTTTATAGAGTGGAATACTACTGATTTGTAATGAATAGTTGCCAGGAACTGGCTTCTTCTTTGTGAAATGAAGGTAACTTATCCCGTCCTTCTTATTGATTCTAAAGAAACCGTCTTCATTTCCAGAGTCAATTAAATATCGGTTATGGTTTGTCAGTGTTGTGAGGGCAGGAAGCAGTTCCAGGATGCGATCTTTGTTACTGAGATCCGAGATGTTGATGGAGAAGACTGCTGCTTTCTCAATATCCCAGCTGGCGAGACTGATTGGCGGCTCCAACTCTTGCTGATCCTGCAGAAGAACAAATCATGTTAGTGGGCTTTGTCAGAGAGCATCTCACAGGTGCCTATGTGGATGTATTCCTTATCCAGGTCGTTCATTATTAATCAGTTTTTAAAAGTGTGTTCTGTAGTATCATCTGTCAAGTCCACTGTTATGGGCCTAGGACTTGTCAGGATAAAGTATGGTCTTTGTCACTGTTCCCATGTGGGTAACAGAAGCCTGAGACACGTGCTGAAAGTTTCTGCATGTGGGTCCTGCTGCCAAAGCACCTCTGTGCTCGGAGTCCACCATCGGCCTCCTACAGAGAGAGCAGCAAAGGCACACGCCTCCCCTCTGCCAGGGGAACCACAAGATACCATTAACCAGGACATGCGGAAGAGAGCAGGGTCGACTGGGGAGGCACCTCCTTCAGGCAGGAGCTTGCTTTGCAAGATTCGCTTTGTTTAGGTGTGGAGCTGGGGCAGCCTGCAGGCCCACCGGGGTGCTGGAAAAGCAGCATCACCCCTTACCTCCAAGTGATGGTAACTGGGCTCCCCCCGAGCCCCCTGTGCAGTGGCAGAACGGCGACACTGCAGGCACATTTCAGCACATCAGCTCGAACATTTCCGTTTGGAAAGCAGGGGAAGCTCTACCTCACCTCTGAGACAAACCCGGCACTCATCACAGACAGTACTGAAACGTGCTGAAGAAACGCAGTTCACGACCCCACTCTGCCCAAAGCATTCCCCTGTCTTCCTGTATTAGCACTGGTCTCTGTATCAGCTCTTTGGTCTACCTTGTTTGGGGTACACATCTTTCCTGTGGGAATGTCTCTTGGCTCACCTTCTTCTGAGACTGGCTGTCACAGGACAACCGCAAACCCTCCCCCCAAAAAGGGTCAATTACCTCTGCCTCATTTGCAGTTTCATTAGTGCTTCTGCGCTTCCTTCCTCTCTTGGGATAGCCATTGATTTTACATTCGTAACACGCTTCTGGAGAGAGGGAGTTGTCATCCACTTCTCCACTGAGTGAAAGCTCTTGTCCTTGACCTTTGCCTAGCCCCACTCCAGAAACACAGTGTCTGTGGGAGGAAGACATTCGAAGTTAATTCCAGTGAGACACAGATCTTATCAAGAGCTGAAACTGGGGGACTGTGAATACAAATAATAAAGCCATTACGTTGCACTCATTTCCTAGGAAAAATTTCTGCTGCAGTCAAGAGGCAAAATTGTCACTGAATTACAACGTAGCTACCTCTGATTTCAAGAACCTGGCTCCATGAGGCTTTGCCTAAGAGAGACCTGCCAATATTTAACATTTTTTAAAACACAAGCTTAAGCTCCGAGAAGTTGTTAGTAATTTCTGGCATCCAACTTGGAACGCATTAAAAGAGACTAATTTTCAGAAACTGCTGAAAAATCTGAAAAGTGAGGTCTTTCAGAATGCATCCCAAAGCTTTTAGTCACTCCTTAAATTTAAGCCACAGTCTTTCCGCTTTCGAGTTGCTTGGTCCTACATGATGCACAGCCCTAACAACCCCACTGGGGCAAGGGAAAATTGGTTTTCTTGATAAAGCAGACATTTATTCAAAAAAATGATTCATTTGGAACACAGAAGAGTATGGAACACATAAGAACATAAAAGCCTACAGAATTGTTATTCCAGTCACTGGGTGAAGCCACTTGTATAATATCATTTGTCTCTGGAGCTGGCAGGGGGTGTTATTTTGGGTGTTTTTTGAAGAAGACAAGTGATACACCACAAATCACAGCGAGGGGTGTGAGCCCAGAGAACTTAGCTGGGATGTGCAGGAGAGGTGAAAGCAGCAGCCTAAAAGAGACTGTTGAACCTGGCAGCCCTGACCAAACTTCATTAAGCATTAGAACACATTGCTCCCTTCCCTTGGTTCCCTGTCCCCTCATCTCCAAAATCAGCAGGAGCATCCAACTCTCGAGCACTTCCACAGTCCTATCCCTCTGTCATTGGTGACAATACCCCTGGTTCTGCTGCTCCACACGACAGAGAAGGGAGCGGACAATGTCCCCTTTATGTCTGTTAGTTTAAAACGAGAAGCCCTTACCCTTGTCCTATTCTGAAGTAACCAGGTGGACATCCACAGACATAGCCACCTTCAGTATTTGAACAACCATAACTGCATGGGGCTTGTGCAGAACCGCATTCATTGATATCTTGGCAACCTCCACTAAACTGTTCATACTGAAATCCGGTAGGGCACATACATTTATAGCTTCCCAAAGTATTGTGGCAAGACGCTCCTCCACAAATGTGTGCACTGAGACATTCATTTTCATCTGGAAAAGAAGCAGAACACAGCACGTTAACTTTTACCCTCAGGTACAGTCCAGCTGATCCCTGCAGAAAGGTCGTGCTCGGCTCTTGCTGAACGCGCTGCCACATCAGACCACAGACAGACACAGAACAGGGCCTGGCCTCACCCTCGGCTGGGGCAGCGGTCGCTAGGAGATGACTACAACCATACAACAGAGCAGTATTTGGGCAACTCTACAGAAGATGTTTCACGCCACGTCAGCTCGTGCTCTGGAGAGCACAGAAGCAGAGGAGGCCACTTTTTTCCTTTTTTTCCAGAAACAACCGAGGAGAACAAAACTCTGTACAGCCAACAGCCTGGTCCAGCAATCCCATGTTCATGCTGCTGTTCGACATCAGAGGAAAAAGAGTAAGGAACCAAGCTCTGACACCTTTTCCTGGCACTGAAAATCCCTCTTTACACAGTCACGTTTAAATGTGAGGTATAGGTAAGGTACAGGAACAAGCAGTACAAAGTGAAAAACAAAAGCAGCTGTAGATATGAAAGATGGCCACGCTCTGAGCCAGCCTTCTTCCAAACCTTCCAAGTGTGGCACTGTAGGAGCCTGAGGTCGGTTCAGGCTTGCTTACTGTAAATGGTTGGTTTCTTAAAGGTAGGTGCTCTGATTTTCTTTGTCTGATGTGGCAAATCGCTTTGAAATGTTCTGAATGCTAGCATTCCCCATTCTCTGTGACAAAGCAACTGCACGCTGTGTGTGCATAGGAAATGCCATCTGGACACTGTATGGATAAAATGTAAACCACAGAGTAGCATTTCTGACCTCAGCATCCAGGTTACAGGAGAGTAACAACTAATTCAGAGCATTACTGTCTCTTTCCAAACAATGTGGCTGTTTGTTCTTTCCTTAAAAGCAATGCCTTTACCTCTGGCAGCTGGGTTTATGGCACAGTGCACTACAGAACCGCCAGGGCAGGGGATGCCGTCACACACAGCACAAGGCATGGGAGGAACCAAAGCATTCTTCAGCGATTATCTAAGTATGTGTAGCAGCAACATCAAAAGTCACTGAACACTTCATTAAATAAGCTAAAAAAAGATACAAACTGTTTCCAGAGTTGGGGTTGCCAAGGAATACGAGGGAATTGTCACGGAAAAACCTATTAAATGGGTCCTTCCCCTGTGGCATGCCCAGGACATCTAGATAAGCATCTTAAGCATACGCAGCTACAGATGTTACAATGTGAACATGTGGAGACCACAAGGTATTAAAGCTGGGGCTGAATTCTGTGTCACCAAACCCCGTAGGAGTTTTGCCATTAACTCGGAGCAACGTTTCAGTATTTGCCATACCTAACACAGCAATTATGTCAACATCATAAGTGCACATTTGGGCCACAGAAAGTTACTGCACCAAGAGGAGAAATGCTCACTTTGCAGCAAGGGTATGGATGCTAGTGAGGTTAGTTCCCATATTTTGGGTGATTGTTGGAAGAAAAAAATACGAAGAAAAGTGAAAAAACCAGTTACGGGAGCCTCGGATTCTGCGCAAGCTGTGCTGTCAGGCACCAGCCTTGCTCTCCTGTGCTCTGTAACACGCAGCTCTGC